AGGCAAGTACAGTGACATCCTTCAGCATGTCACTAGAGCAGTCAGGAAAAGAAACAAAAATCATCCTTTGTGAAAAAGAAACAAAATATTCCAGAAGAAAGGTGGAGCAGAAAGAGAAGGGAAAAGAAAGAGAATGTTGCAGAACAGAATTTGGGTGGGGAGGACAGCAGAAAGAGAAATTTCCAGGAGAAATTTTATGCTTGCAAAAGCAGTTACTCCTGGATTGCTGCTGTCTCGAAAGTAAGACTCAAACACACTGAAGACATAAAAAGTAATCTAACTTTTCCTAGTCAAATGATGGAAAAGTAGAAGAAAAAAAAATGGAAATACACTTTAAATATGCTTCCTATCTCAACATTCTCAGTCCCATGAAAACCTCAACATTTTTCCACACAGTAACTGAGCTACTCCATCTGTTCAGAAGAATTGCAAAAATTTCCTTAGAACTGCCTTATTTGACAAGTTTGAGTTTCTTTCTGCAGCATCTTTTATCTTTCTAACTTTGGTACAGAGACTAATGCTGATGCTCAGCCTTATAATCAGGCTGCTAAAGTATGGAAAATGGAAATATCACTTTTGTGGTGGCCTCAGTCCACTATCAAGTTTCAAAGAGCCTTTGATTTTGATGGAGTCTGTGGATAGATGCCGTGTGTTCTAATTAATGGCAAATTAATTAATAATTATTGGTATGGAAATCAAGAGCTCCAGTTTCATAATTCAACATATTTTTCTCATGGAACACACTTACCTACAGCAAGCCTTCTGATCTCTTTCCATTTCAATTGCTAGTTAAAAGTGAATTTCAATTTCATTAACAAAACATCTTTTTCCCCAAGACAAACATCTCCCTGATTTGCCTTATCTGAAGCAATAAGCACAATCTTTTTAATAGCATACTAGAATATTCTCAAAAGCAGTGCAGTGTAAAAGGCCACTTTAGCAATTCACTTCGAGAGGAGAGAAGGAGCTCTCAGTTGTACTGACCCTAAGCAAAAAGCAATGAGAATAGAGCATTTCCACAGCTGCCCTGGAAAGGAATCAAGGTGGTGGATATCTCTATGATATTGCTAATGATGAGGAAGAGATTACACTGTAGATGGCTACCATCATCACCTTAATCAATTATATTCTGTGCTGAGATTTCATTAGCTACATTCTTTGAGACTTTATTCTTCACTAATAAGTGAAAATTCTGCTCATTACCTAGAATTGATTATTAATTACCCAACCTAGCGCTTCACTCTAATGAGCCACAGAACTTTGGCACTGGTGATAAACATTAGTTCTCTGTTTATATGGTGATAATATTCACACTGATATGGATTACAGCAAGGAAAATTGGAGTAGCTCTGTGATTTTAAGGGAGTATGTACATCCCAAGACTGATTCATAACATTTTAAGAACATAGAAGACCAAAGTTGATTTCATTAATGTTTTGAGATAATGAGTCCATCTAGCTTTGTGCTTAAACAGTCACTGCAATTCCTGCCTCAGCAATGTAAGTGTTTTCTGAGTAAGATTATTAGAAAAGTAATGAAAGTTACTCAGGGCACGGCAGTGAAAAAGCAGTAGCTATGCACTTCTTGAGAACTGGAAGCAAAGCACAACTACTGTCATTGATCTGAGCTTTTACAGAGGATTAACAAATCTCTCCCTTCGGTGAAAATGCTTCTCCCTTCTAATCAAGTCAAACTTTTATTTCTCTTTTCTACCTCTACCTTCTTTGGAAATACTCCAATTTTGTTTCACTGAGGCTGGAAAACACTCTTATCAGCATTTTACTGCAATTTATCCTTTTTTCCTTTTTTTTTTTTTTTTAAATCCATGCAATGTTTCAGTCTAATAAGCCACCTGCAATGTCTTAAGTCTACAAACATTGCTAAACCACATTGAAACTATGTGGGAAAAAACCCAACCCAAACCTAACAAAAAAAGCAGACACTATTATCTTTGCTAGTGGGAAATTATGGTGTTACCACTACAACTGAAACATGATAACAACTTGTAAAGATCATCTTTTGATACAGAAATTATGAAAGAGAGAAAATAAAACTGAAGGGGATTAATTTGCTCACTTATAATCAACTAACCCTAATTCTGAGGTACTCCACATTTTCCAAAAGGACCTCAAAGCAAATGCAAAGATAGGCTAACAAAACCTCCTTAATCAGTCTTTCAAAGGGACACGGGTTGTGATTCATAAATGGGACTTAACATGCATGATTAACATTTTGCTGCTTTGATTCTTGCAGAAACTTCAGAAACTACCTGATGTTTCTTGAACATTCACTAGAAGAGCAATGTGCAACAAACTCTTCCAGCTCCCACCTCAACATCCAATTCCCACTAATGCATCCTAATCACAGTGTGAAGGAATTATGTTCACATATAAATGTGTGCTTCATCTGCAGCCATAGATATTTATGTACTTTAAGAGCAGTGGAACAAGCTCCCAAATGAGAAAACAATACAAATTTTTCTCTTCTCTTACTGGTGTGAAAACAGCATTTTTAATGGGAAACTGAATTCAGCTGAATGTTCTGGTATGGAGGGGATCAAAATGAAGCACTGCTTTTCTGTCACAGTGTCCTAAATAAGCATTTGATCTTTCTTTCTTATGGATTTACATACCAGCTAGTTAATAAGAAAGTACTCAAATTTGTATGTGTGTCTGTGTCCATATAAAGGCAACACTGGCACATCTGCAAAACAAGGAAGTGCCAATTTTCCAGGAATTAAACACAGAGTAAAATGCCTTTATTCCCCATGCAGAAAAATCTTCTGCTTTCCAGAACATGTATCACTGTACAACAGGATCTGATTCTTTGACCAGTAATACATGTGTTTTCACCCCTCAACAACCTAGGATTCAGTTCTACAAGTATTTCCAACACAACATCACCTAACTGTGGTTTAGAAGTGGAATAGAATGGCTCCACCAGACATTACACACACTGCATGGGAGGAGAATACAAAAAGGCTGCCAGAGCCCTGAGGTTGGAACAGTGTTTGCAAAGTGACTCTAAATGCCAGGGCAGCTAGAACATTTCATTCCTCTTCATTTCTTCCCTTTTTCATCCTGAGAAATTTCCACTACACAGCCCAAGTAGTCTAATCATTACCTGGGGCTATATCTATGTACTGGGCCTAATTAGTTAAAAATATAGCACTGAAATCTTCCCAAGCCATAAGACATTAAGACACCATATTAATCTTAGTCAATAATATAATTCTGTTTGTTTTATCATCCTGGAATAAAGATAAAGTGATGGATGGTAATCCTGAAGTCTAATCCTCTTTAATCCTACAGACTCTAGTCTAAGGAAATGAGGAGGGACACTTCACTTTTGCTCAAAAGTCTGGTTCAAAGTGTACCTTGGCAAACAGCCCTTGGGAAAAAAGAGGTCCAGGAGGGGTGATCATACTTCAAGAAGGAAGTATTGAAGGTGCAGGAGCAGCTGTCCTGGTGTGCCGCAAGGTGAGCCAGCGGGGAAGGTGGCTGGCCTGGCTGAACAGGGAGACTTTACAGGAAATTATGAAAAAAAAGAGAGCTTACCAACTCTGGAAAAAAGGGCAGGCTACTCAAGAAGAGTTCAGGGACATAGTCAGATCATGTAGGAAGAAAATTAGAGAGAAAAAGGCACAATTTGAATTAAATCTGGTCACTTCTGTCAGGGACAGCAAAACGTGTTCCTATAAATACATCAATAAGAAAAGGAAGGGCAAGAAAAACCTTCATTCCTTGTTGGACATGGGAGGGAACAGAGTGACCCAAGATGAGGAAAAGGTTGAGGCACTTAACATCCTCTTTGCCTCAGTTTTTAATAGTAGGACAGGTTGTCCTCAGGACAACTGGACATTAGAGCTGATAGACAGAGATAGGAAGCCAAATAGCGCCCCTGAAGTCTAAGAGGAAATGGTTAGTGATCTGCTTAGCCACTTACATCCTCACAAGTCTACGGGACTGGATGGAATCCATCCCAGAGTGAAGAGGGAGCTGGTGGTGGGTTCACCATCCCTGGAGGTTTTCAAGATGAGACTGGATGTGCACTTAGTGCCATGGTCTAGTAAGAATGGTAGGGTTGGACTCTGATCTTGGAGGTCTCTTCCAACCCTGTTGATTCTATGATTCTCCTTGCTGTCCTGCCATGCCTCACCCCGACTTAGAATCAGCTCCAAGAGAGTGCTGATTAGCATCTCTGCTCTTTGGTCCTCATCAATTTTTACTACCAGAACTCACCCCTGACAGTGGACAATGGACATAAGTTTTAGCAGGTCTGAGTTTGAAATGGAGCTTGAAATAACTGACCTCTCACTGGTTTCTTTAGTAAGATAAAAGAATTCCACAAAGATACATGCAGGAATTTTTACTACATTGCAGAGTCATCTTGAGATCAAAGCTCTGTTGTTTGCTTGCTAGACCTTTAAATTAGTCATGGCTTTTGGAAAGTCTAAATCACCCTAGTGCTGAGGTGAACTAGCAGAATGAGGAAAGAAGGTTTAGCACCTTTACCTGCATGTGCTCTGACTCCTACCCCTCTCCCACTCTGGTGCACTTGTATAAGGGGGTGCGGAGATGAGCTCTGCCTACTTTAAACAGACGCAGTACTGCTGCAGTCCCAGTGGATGACAGCTATTCTGAGGACTTTGATGAGCTTGGTGTTTAAGTGTTGCAGGCTCAGGTGATGAAATACTCAATTCTGAATGCAAATCATGTACAGAAGTTAACTAGCAAGGGTACCAGCTGCAAAATTTGACCACTTGTGTATACAGTGACTTGGATCACTTTGACCCTGCTTTCTTACTCACCCTTCATTAATTAATTTAGTGGTGAGATTCAAAATAATATTAATTCAGCCTTTGCACTGTAGTATAGTAAACCTGACTTGCAGCTGATTTCTAATTATTTCAGCTTTCATATGACAGCAATGACAGACTACTGCAATTAGGGGAAAAAAAAAAGAAAAAAGACAGGAGGACTTACAGAGTTGTCTTTCACCAGAAGAGCACAGCACTGGATTCCTGCCAACAGCATTTTATGGGGATTCCAGGCAACAGAATCAGCCCTGAAAAAATTATAAATGGAGAAAGGGATGTGGAAATTGCACCTATAATCATGGTGTACCAAAGAACCAAAAATGGCCAAACACAATCCAAACAGACCAATCAGATTTCCCATCTCCCCATCCCCACCATAGGTTCAGACACCTCTCCAACTTAGACTAATTTCTGTTTTCTAAAATGCAGCACTTATGAAAGCCAAGAGGCCATGCCACTTCCTTCTCAATACTGGTAAGTGAGCCCATGAACTAAATTAAGTTACCTGTGGATGCCATGAAGAAGTCTGCAATGCTTCCTTGATATCAAAGCTGAACCACCCCAGGAAGCCTGTTGGAATATTTATAGAGCAAAGACAATATTATTCATATAAAGTTCTTTTGACACTACTTCAACTAATAATTTCTGAAGATGCCTTATCTCATTTAAAACTGAGTTTACTACAGTCAGTGGGCTAAATTTTGCCTTTAGTATCATTTACTGAAATAAAGACATCATTCTGGGGCTATGCCTAAAATAGAGGGTTTGTGCCGCTACGTGAGTTCCAAACTGGACTGGCACTTCTGTGTAAGCAAGGGCATGAATTAACTGTCCTTGTATAACCAGACTCATTCCTGATACTGAAAAGACTTGTTTCCTTTCCCCTAGCCTTAACCTAAGCAGTGAGAACAGAAAGTCCCATTTTGCATATCTTATTCCTGCTAGCTATTTCCTTTTTGAAATACACAAGGGAAACAGCAGAGAACTATAATCTCTGCCAACTGAAAAGTCCAGGCTCAGATTTTCCCCAGATATGAAAAGCAAAGTCAGTGAGTGGCCAATAGCAGCATTTCTGCTACCAGCAACCCAACTGACCTTAAAATGGTTTAAGACTCATTACATCTCCCTCAGGTCATCAAAAAACTAAGTGTGTGCTCCAAGAGTCATTTAGACCTCCTCTGCAGTGAGTGGCTCTCAGCTAAAACTCCTTATTAGTGTCATCTACTCTAGACACCCATCTTTGTGTGACACCTTTTGCCACTGTGTCTCTCCACAGATAATAGAAGGAACCCAGACACGAGTTCAATTTCTAGACAACCAGAGTCAGAAAAGGTGATTCCTATTCATGAATTCTGCAAGGATCAGATTTCACCCATCAGGTGTTGTGAATCTTCAGTTCAAACAAGTTATTTGTCTACAGTGGAAAGGTGGGGAGAGCATGCAAACAGTAGATATATCATAAAGCATATTTGAGAAATTACTGATGAAGAAATAAATAAATAAAAGGATTTTCAATGTACATGTAGGCAGAATGCACTTAGACATACTACCTGTGAAGTAAGCAAAGGTTTTCAGAGATGCACAGAAGGTATCAGTGCACAAAACATCTGGACTCAGTTTATTTATAAAAACAAATTCATACTTTTTGGGCTAATGAAGAAAAAAAAATCATTGATGTAATGATTCCTAACCTAAGCATGGAGAATATATGCTGGTTTGTCTTTTGTTCCTTTCCTTCTTTGAAAGAAACAGATGTGATACTGATGCCAAATTCATATATCAGCTTTTTGACTCATAGGCCATACATTAGCAATAAGATATACTATCTCTGGAAGACAGGAATGGCAAAGGCTTACAAGGGAAATGAAAGATTATGAATGTGTCTTAACACATCATTCTAATTAACGCAGTACATTAATGCAGCACATCATATTTCACATTGCCATGCTCACAGCATCCCTGCTGAGAAAAGGTCTGCTGCTCAATCTACAGGTGGGACCTAAGGTAGGAAATTACTTGCCTCAAACTTCATGGTAAACCTGCAGAACTATGATATGAAATTGTGTTTCTCCAGCTAGTCCAATTTAGAATGTTACGGGAAGGCAATCAAACTGAACTTCCTATTCACAGACATATTTTACTCTTTTCATTCTGTGATTCAACCAAGTCAAATAAGTAACTATGTTATTCTCTGATTTTCATCATTTATAAATAACCCATTGAAATATAATGCATTTTTATAAAATTTGCATCCAAAGGTGTCCGTGTTTGAAAAAGTTGTATTTTCACACTGTTTCTGAAAACCAGGACTAGAAAGGCACTCAAGAGGTTATCTCAACAGTATGCCACCCCCAAAGGCAGGATCAACCATACTCCTCTCATTTCTGTCAAACACTAGTCTCTTCTAGAGGTTATTAATCAATAAACACTCATGACTTGTGATTAGCATTGAAGTGAAAAATAAGATGCAGAGAGACACCAGCAATTGCTAACTCCACAGCACTATTGGCACCTGTTTCTGTCTTTGTTTTAAAAAATACTGCTGTAGATCTAGAAGAGAGGAATGATAGTTCTGGAGGTCCAGGCATCTTCACCACCTTTCAATCTCTCTTTGAGCCACAGTACTACAAGATGAATTTGTGATCCACGTTTCTTTACTCAGTTCAAAAATCCAGGGGTCGCAAAAAATAAAACGAACAAAACAAAACAAAACAAAGCCAAAAAAACCCCAAACCAACCAAACAAAAAAAACCCCCACAAAACCCACACAAACAAACAATGAGAAGGCACCTAAGACCTAGGAACACTGGCTTTGTCTGGTTTTAAAGACCTCTAATGATATAGGCTGCATAACTTAACTACTTAATTTGTGTTTAAAGGTAAGAACCCATTTTTAATTTATAGTGTGAGTCTTAAACAGTGCTACCTCTTGTCACCTCCAGTGGTCAGGGAAACAGATTACTCCTTTTCTTTTTGCAGCAGTTTTTAAAGCATCTCTAGACTATTACATATTATCTCTTTGACTTTTCTAGTTTAAATAACATCCATGCTTTCCATCTTTCCTCATTGGCCATAATTTCTAGATATGGATCTGTTTATCTGCATTACATTCCCATTTTCTAATCTTTCCCCCATGTAGGTCCTTAACCTTCTTGAAATGCATCTTTTTATTTGGACACAATCTAGATAAAGCAGATGGAGTACCAAGCAGAAAGAAAGAATCATTTAATGTATCTTCTTTATTCAATTCTGAAAGACATTTAATGCTATTTGAAAATATCGCTGATTTGTGAAGTACTGCAAAGCCCAGATTTTTTTTATAAAGATCTGCTGTCTAGCCAACAATCCCCACCCTGTGTTTGTACACTTGATTATTACAGCTTAGACTTCTATATTTATTGAACTGTAGCCTAGTTTTTCCACTTTTTGCTACAAACTGTCAAAATCTCTTTGATTTCTAATCCTGTCCTCCCACTGCCTTTTGCAGCACTTTTATGTAATTTTCAAATTTGTCAGCATATTCTTTTTCATCCTGGTTATTTAATGAAAATACCAGATAACTTTTAACCTAGGATGGCCTTTTGTGGAAATTTTTTCATTTTTCAGTGAATCACTGGTAACTGCTCTCTGGGTATAATTTTCCAGCCAGGTTTTCACTCACTACCAGAGCTGCAGCTTGGCATGTTTCTCTGGCTTTCTGATGAGATAAAGACACAACAAAATTAACTGCTCCTCCTCTGATTATGAAACTACAGAAGGAAGGTAGATTGATCAAATTAGACTGACACATTTTGTTTACAATAAATCCAGCTGAGAGCAATGCTGGGAAGGTCAAAACACAAATATCACCTGTGCCCCATACAATGCAATTGGCAACAAGGTACAGGAAAATTACTGTGTTTCATATGCAAAAATCACAGCTGAATGATGGGAATCACAGTGTTCACAGTGTGATTAAACTAATTACCTAAGCACAGGCTAATAGGTCAAACCTGATTTTCTGTACTGGTCTAATAATGCGGGGAAGGAGGCAGAGGGAAGAGTCAAACTAAGGACCATCAGGGAAGAAATACTCATACATAGTATTTAAAGCTACATGAAGAGAATACATGACACACAAGTGCTGGAGCTTGAGTGCATATTGATGACACAAAACAAGTTATTAAGAAAGGTATCATATATATGATGTAAGTTAGACTCCAATCAGCAACTAGAACACGTATGAATTCTGTAATGTGAACCAAATAAGCTTGTTATAGCCTCTGCACTTAGGCCATTGAACAGCTTGACTGCTAGGACAAATTGGACTTACTGGTATTATCTTCTTATAAGAATGTTTTCCTTAACTCCCTTTTCCTCTTTTGGTTGGTCACCATGTAAGAGCTTATCTACTATTTCTTACTTCATTGAAATCTATCATCCTGAAGCTCACTGATGTTATGTTGATGCCTTCCTTTTGCCCTTCCTAAGAATCAGAAGCTTTATCATTTCAAATTTAATGAAAAGAGTCTCCCTAAGGCAAGCATATCAGTTTTTGGGATCAGAAAATATTCTGAAATGAGACAAAACAGTGTAAACCTGGAAATAACACCACTGACATTCATATACAATATTCTTAGAAACACTTCTTGAAAGCATTTACAGTAGATAATCCTGATACTCCTCAATGATACATGAGAAGTCCTAAATTAGACAGAACTTCACCTGTGATTTAAGCTTTATTTTAATTGTACTATATAATTTTCCTTCAAAGTTACAGCAGGCCCAAAGAGCAGTACTCACTTGCTATAACTCAGATTGTATAATGTATAAATTACTTTACAAGAAGCCAGGCCTTTCAGAGGACTGTAAATTCTCAAAGCTTTCAAAAATATTATATTCTTGCCTATAAGGCTAGAAGGAGGAAAGCTTGCTTAAAAACAAAGAAAAAATCCAGCTCTTCTCTGTTTCTTGTACAGTCTTTCTGAATGGCAGAGATCTAGTCTCACTGTACCTTTCCACATGCTATTTCAGTAAATCTATTTCTAATGGTGCTGTGAGTGAAAAATGGTCACACTACAAATTACACTCTGCTCATTTTACCATAGTACACTTCTATATACATGTATGCCTGATGTTGGTTACGTGGAAAGTTTTCAGTCATTCCCCATATGTTCTCTTATAAGTACAGCTAGAAACCTTTAACAAAAATAAACATCCACTCAAACTTTCATAAAGTGTGAAAGAGAATAAATAGAAATAGAAGACAGAAGAAACAGAAGAGAAGAAAGATCAAATTTCTGAGAATCACTGAGAGGTTCATAACTTGAATCACATCTTAACAACTCATCTTCCAGACTGTAAACCCAATTTATTACTGGACATTTGTCCTTCTACTGGGAATCAATTATCATCTGACAACCATACTCATTGTTCAAATAGACAATTAACTTCAAGATATTCATGGACATTTTTACCTTAGTTTAACATGAGTCACTATTGGAAAAAGTCAATTCTTATCAAAACACTATCAACTGCCTATGGTTCAGAATATGGCCTGGGTTTATCCACCTAATTTTAGTTCAGCTACAGAGACTATTCATTGTTCGCCTAGTCATCAGAGAAGGCTCCAGCTACGTCTATCTGACTCACCTAAGGTTCAGCATAGATTCTGGATACATCCCTCTTTCCACCAGCTACATGCAGACATGTAAGAGACTAGAGCATAATGTGAGTCCTGCACTTCTGTTGGCAATCTGATGGGTTGTTCTCAGCAGCACACAGCTGTGAGGAGGCTTTGCAGACATTTTAAATACTAGGCCTAAATTCTGCATCTTTGCCTCTAAGTCAATAAGAAAACTCTTATGACACACACAGAGCGACTTTATTTATTAATGTCTGTGAGACATTTTTGAAACACGCACCGCTGCCTACATGGTTTTTCTTTACATATTCAATATTAAACAAACACTTCAAAAATTTAGAGCAGGTCTAAAAATCTCCATTAGCATTGCTCCAGATTCTCTTTTTGCTCCATCACTTTTAAACTAGACATTCTGGATTTGTGGCGTGGCAATTATAAAGAGAATACAGTTTTAGAAAATATGAAGAGACCTAATTTTAGAAAAACACTTTTACAGCTAACTCTTTCAGGTAATAAAAAGGCTCAATGATTATTCCAAAAAGATTCGTGAATAGGTTTTAATATCCAAACCTAAAACTACACAGAAATTTAAAAAGAAAAATTACTAAACAGATTAGGAAAATATAAGATCTACAAGAAACAGGAATCTGTAAATATCAAATAGAATAATTTACAACTGGTTGAGCCAGAAACATACCTTTATTTTAACCTGTATGAACCACACACAATTCTAATGCATCTATTCTCCAACAGAATGTGGAAAGAATCCAAAAGTTACATTTGTATATAATTACCCTTAAAGCATTTTTAGGAGGTAGCAAGAAGAAATTGGTTATAAAACAATTTTGAAATATAACCTGGCAATAAGAAAATAGGTTTGACCACTTCTCAGAATCATGTTATTTGCTGTTTTGCAGCACATGTAGCAGAGACAAATTAAAATGTATTTCTGGTCCCTATGCAAAAAAAAAAGGAAAAAGTTATTAGAGCCCAGCTTCCTCCTAAAAAAACCATCAACAGTCAAAAGCAAAGTAGCAATTATAAAAGAGCAGTGCTAAAGAAAAGTACACACTATACAAACTCACGTCAACATGAAGCCAGAGGCCATGCTTTTCACAGATATCAGCAATTTTATCCAGAGGATCAAATGCTCCCAGCACTGTTGTGCCTGCTGTAGCACAAACAAGAAATGGTGCTGACCCCTGCAATGGAATTCAAAACAAACAAAAAAAAATTATCACTGCTCATTTCCTTGAGTATACTTGCAGAGCTAAAGTATAAAAAAGGTCTAGGAATGTAGGACATAGATGTGACAGTCTACATTTTAGTTTCCCAGCAGAAGGTACTGCATCTAAAATTGCTGATTTTAAAAAAATAAAGGAAAAAAAGAGGCATTTTCCATTTCTAGCTAACACCATCCTAGGGCAGACTTCAACAGCTTCAGACTGTTTTGACAGATGCTAGTTTTGTCAAAATCAAAACATACCAGATATTTGACATCTCTCTTTATACACTAATTTTCATTTCTCAGTCTTCCAAATTTCACTACCATATTTGCTGTCATTCTGATGGATAAAATAAAGCTACTAGCTCAGTCAGCAGACTATCCATGCAAGGAAAGGGCTCATCCCTCTAGGGTTACCACCTGCACTGTCTCTACAATGCCACTGTTCTCTGCCTGGTGAAGAGGAAACTTCGGTTAGGGAACACAACTTGCCTTCGGCAGCATTGGCAACTACCATGACAGGGACAGTCACCATTGTCTGATCCCATGCCTGACCTACAGCACAGCACTATTCCCCTGCTTCTACTCCTGTCTAGAAAACAGGAAGGTCTGTAGGTAGTAAGTGAATGTTACGAGAGAGACCACTGAAAATCTCAGAGTTTCAAGGTCAGGCAGCTGGGATAAGGAAAACTTTTGTTAGGTTGCAGCCTCAGACAACCACTATAAGCCATCCATTTGGGGTTTGGTGGTTTTGCTCACTGTCTTCCCATTCAACTAAGAGCTGGAGTGCAATTACAATAGCAGACTAAGTCATATACCCTTGCAGACCCATGCAGCTGTGTCTGCTTAGGAGCAAAAACTGCAACAACGTAAAGAATTGGCGAAGTCTTTAACAGCGCCATTAATTTGAGGATATCAGCCCTAGCAACAACTGTATGGTTCAACTTGCTAGTAAATACATTCTGAAGGAACTCCTCTGCATATTTCTGCATCTGACTTACAGCATGACAACACAGTTACCACACAGGCATGAAGGTTATTAAATTGCACAATCTGAGATCACTGGAGTTCATTTGCAGTGAATTAAATCTTTCAGATGATATAAGTCTGTCTGCTGATATAACTCAATGTAGCTTTAGTGAAATCAGACAAAGGCAGAAAAATCACTTATATTGAGTCAGATGAAATCTCATCTCTCTTTAAAAAAATGTTGCTACTTTTAAACATCTACAGAGACAGGCTTGATTCACATTTACACTCTGAAAGTTTACACTTCTTTAGCGTGTAGAGGACTGTTAGAATGGCACGCAATTATGATTTATTTGTATTTCAAAATTTCTTTACAAATAGCTAAAGCAGTGAAAAGTAACACTGGGATAAATTTAAATTAATCCCACACATTCACAAAGAATTACCAGCTTACAATTAACTTCTTGGTCATTTTTTGTTTGTAAAAGTTACCAAAACAGTCAATGAAACTTAAAAACCAGCCTGAAGCTCAGGAACAAAACACCTGTAAGTGAGGCAAAGATGCATCTGATGCACCTTGTTTCTGTTAGTGTTCCCACCAGTTGTCTCCCACGCTACATCAAAGGTCATCCAGCAGACAACTGGTAGTATGATTGAATACAGGGACAAATCTAAGACCTCTACAAATTCCAATGATTTTTACCATTTTTCCCCATGAAGAAGGGAATTAGATTCTTATTATTCTTGACAATATAATTAAACAGATCTTCCTGAATAAATTCTTTAAAAAGACACCTAAGACTCTTGCTATTCATATTCAGTGATCACTTTGCTCTTCTATCACTAGCAAATGCATACTCTGTTGTCTAGAGTCATTGTAATATTTACTGTAATTCACTGAAGTGTCCTTCTGTAAAAGTTGTAAAGTAGTACTTTATCAAGGACAGACACACTTACTGAAGCTCTGATGAAATGAAAACCTTCCAATACACCTGTAACTTCCATTAAAATGCAAGTGAAATCGTGTTTTCCTGTAAGCAGAGCATTTTAATACAGAACATTTGTTTTTAAGTTGCAAAGCACCATACTGAGGTTGACCTTTTCTAAAAGATCATAAATGCCAGATGATTTCTTTCAGATAACCATTACATTTATTATTATATGAAGAAACAAGAATTCTGTTTTTAACAAAAGCAAAGAATTCATTCTCCTGTGAGCCTGCCCCCTTTCGCTCCACTGCATTTCAGTCCTTCCCCCCCCGCCCGGCTTGCTCAAATGAGTAAAGTACAGGTTGTCTTCCTCAAATAATGCAAAGTACAGAAAGAGGCAAACAAGACAGTTTGCTAGGCCATTAAGGCCACCATGTATCAATGGCTACACTATCTAGCATGAAACTCAAAGAAGAGATGGTTGTTTGGCAGAAGATGTATCTAAATCAGATCTCAGTGAAAGCTGTCCATACCAGTCCATGACAGGACTGCACTGCTTTGGCTCCTCTATCAGGCACAAAGTAGGTTTCCCAAGACAGGAATCCATGGAAGATATCATCCATGCCATGGACATTGCACTAGTTGCTTTGTATTCACAGATCATGGACTAAGGGCTGAGCTCTGAATTCTACCACTCTGATGCATAAATTGGAAGTGTGAATAAGGTGAGCTAACCAAACTAAAAGAAGATGCTCTTGGAATTCACATTCAGTCCTCCAAGCCCTCTAAAATAAATTATGTTGACTATAGTTAATTACTGTCTTACAGATTTTGGAAATGTATGCTAATGGTGTACAAATGCATCAGTACCTTTCCAAATGCTGGCCTTTGACTTTCTACTTGGCAAAGTCTCTAGGGGAAAAGAGGCACAGGACAAAAATCTCTGCACTCTTGCTACAATAAGAGAAAGGACCAAATTTAGCATTTGTAGCTTGTATGATAGTTTTAGAGACTAAGCCACATGTTACAGTTCTTGCTCACTGCAGAGGATAGAGCAATAGCTGCTGTAATTAACTGAAAAACCGTTTTAGGAAATAAATACTTCATCCATTTAAAAAAGGATCAAGGGCAAAAGAAATCCTGTAAGAAATGTGCTAAATACTTCAGGGCAGCATTGTACTCAGGACTTTCATTAGTAGTAAACATTCTGTGGAATTTTCCTCCTCTCTAAGAGTTAGAACTCATAAGCCTTGGCTTGTTGCACAAGTTTTTGGCAAACAGATCGTACCTGTAAGAAAGGCATTGTTATATTAACCACCCTATTTTTAAGGTTTTGCTCACTTAGTTTTCCTTCCTTTCACTCAAATACAAGCACACAGTCTGCATACACTCATCTCCTTCACACTCTCTCTCCCCCTCTCACCTCTTTCCTGGCCCGCTGGACTTGTTTCTCCAGTTCCTCAGGTACCATCTTACCTCTAAGGGACACAGATTTAAAACTTTTTCAGTTACATTCAAATAGTTGGTTATGTACAGCACTACTGCATTTTAAAATGGCTCAGAGGTCACAGTCATAGTTTTTGCTTTCTTACCTTTCATCTGTTTTGATGAAGTAAACATTCTCTGTACCAATACCCAGGAAGGAGGCAGCCTTCTTCATGGAGTAGTGACACTGTAAATCAAAGAGGTAGAAAAGAAAAAGTACACATGCAATTAAAACAAAAGAAATACATTCCTTAACATAGGGAACAGTGACACTAAGATTAATTCGATAGTACCTAACAGCCATGACAACAGCATATTCTAACACAGAAAGCAAACTGATAAGCTACATATCACAAAGTCCATCTCATATTTGACAATGACACACACTGAAAACTGGGGAAAATAAGACCAAAAAAAAGATGTGCACCATGTTTAAAATGTAAGCTTAATAAAATAAGAAGCTTTCATCCATACAATTTTTTGAAAGCTGGTTCTGCATTAGAATGAAAAGCAGAAGTTTTGAAGTGTCATCAGGGAGTAATTATTAATTGTTTTGAAATGTTTGACTGGAACTGAGTCAAAAGTATCAATGAGTGTAAGCGTTAGGAAATGCATGAGAAGAAACATTTAACAGCCTAGAAGCAACAAGTAATTCTGAAAGTCCAAAAGCACCACTCCTTGGAAACTTAATCAGGATGTATCTTATGATAGAGTTTACAATACATCTAAAGACTCTTACCACTTTATTCATAGAACTTTTCTATATGCTTTCTCTAATCCTCAGCTCTTGGCCACTGCCAGAGACAGGATATTATGCTAAACTGGCCCATGGCCTGACCCAGCAACTTTGGTTCACACAATCAAGGAGCTCGATGCCCAAGACCTAATGAAAACTTCAGATGTGGTACAACTGGGATTTGCAAGGCTTTCAAAGTCCCATCTCTGCAAAAGGATCTGAAAACCTTGGTGTTATGAAAATTATTCACATGAATCTCAATCTTAGCCATTACAAAAGCAAACAGGTTTTAGACAGGACTCAGCACATCTTCAAATATTAATGCGGATTTTGCAAAAGGTTCCAGTCTGGACCAGTCTGCATTTTTCAGAAAATGAAGTTACTGTTTCAGCAAAGAATTTTAGCTAGGTCTCACCTCTCATTGTAGAGACATCTTTGTGTGAGCAGAGATACATGCAGCCCACTTTTCACTTTGCACTGAATAAAGGGCACCAGTGTATGAAGCTCATAAAGTGAGTGTAAAAGAGGATCTTTAACAGTTTATTTAAGCAGAATGTGGTAAAATGGCTATTCATGGTATATATCTCACCACATTTCAAACATTCACATCTATAAGGACCTGATCTACTGTGGATACTGTTATTCCAGTGCAAGAACATTTTGTCTTATTCCAGAATAACAGTACACTGATCTCTGCTTAATTCATCTTCAAGATTAGCCTGGGAATTCAAAATCCAGTAACCTTCTTAACCTGAAGGTATTGAGATGTCAAAACTACTCTGAGTAACCTGCAGCATGCCAAATGCCTACCCACTCATAGCAGTGGAATCAGTTTTGAAAGTATGCAGTATCCCACAGGACTAGACAGTTTTTCTCGATCATCCAACCCTTGAATTATCAATGCCCTTCTCAAAAAAAAAAAAAAAATAAAATTAGCTCTTTTACATATTATTACTGAAGAGTTAAAATCATGCATACTCCAGCAACTGTGAAGATGTCTAGAATTGTTACTTTTCATACAGGAGGTGAAGCCAGGTGGTTAATTAATTCCATTTTCTTCCAGAGAGTTCACACAAATGCAGTTACTGCAGAACATAATTATGAAAAATGTACAACATTTTAATGTGTGGGTATGAATATATTAAGGGTATTAAAGCCTGTCACGCTTATTTTGATGAGATGGATGATCTCAAAGGGCTCTTTTTCTTTTTGACAGAAAGGTTTCCCCCACCATCACCCACTTTTTAAATAAAGGCATACAAAGACATTACCTGATACTATAAAGTAGTTTTAAGAAAGCTTAATTTTGTAACATGACACATCCACAAAGCCTTTAGGGCTCATTCATTTAGACTGTTACAAGAATAATAACATACATAGGTGGATAATTAGTCTTATATTACATCAAATTACATCAATAATGCTAATAATGATTGTAAGTGGCTGTGTGCTGTTCAGGAGAAGTTTGGAGATGTTTTCAACTGATTAGTGAATCACTTAAAATACAAGTTGTCTCCATTCAAATGAAAGGTATGAATCACCAAGAACGATCATACTGCTCCAAACTGAGAAAGTAGTAAACCTGAAAATTCACTGCACTAGTAAGCAGACAATCACTAAATCATGTATTTTATTATAAAAAAATGGTTTGAGAGACTGGAAGAAAGATAAAAGAGACATGAGCACCTGAGAGACCATATAAAAAAGCAGAGGAAAAGAGAAGAACAAAGGGAATACCAAAACAAAAGAGGCTGCAAGATACATTCTTTTTCCTCCAGAAGTACTTCCGCACCTCTTGGAAAATTTTGTCCTTCAGTCGGACAGAAAAGGAACAAGACTCAGACTACTACATAGACTTGGAATATGCTTTCTTTGATGAAAAAAGTAGTTTCTGTTAATACTTATTGAAAACATGTAAGAATTTCATTCTCCACACATGCACTACCATAACTAGAAGCCATTATACTAAATTGCACAGCATCATTTGAAGAAGAAATATACCAGAGAACATTTAGCAGCTCCAGTCACAACAGTGTCAACTAATTCAGTTGTTCATACTTCCCTTTACACAGATTCACACAGAATCGATCGGGTTGGAAAAGACCTCAAAGATC